AAAAGAATTTTGAACTGAACCCTTTATTTAATCTCCGGGGATAGACTGTTCTCGTTCCACTGCTCATGTATCGGGATATTTCGCCTTGTTCTTATTTTCATTTAGTATTCAGTTATTGCCTGCCCCAGTCTTCCTCAGGTGTATATCGATCTAGGTAATCTAAAAAGAATTTTGAACTGAACCCTTTATTTAATCTCCGGGATAGACTGTTCTCGTTCCACTGCTCATGTATCAGGATATTTCGCCTTGTTCTTATTTTCATTTAGTATTCAGTTATTGCCTGCCCTCCAGTCTTCCTCAGGTGTATATCGATCTAGGTAATCTAAAAAGAATTTTGAACTGAACCCTTTATTTAATCTCGGGGATAGACTGTTCTCGTTCCACTGCTCATGTATATATTTCGCCTTGTTCTTATTTTCATTTAGTATTCAGTTATTGCCTGCCCTCCAGTCTTCCTCAGGTGTATATCGATCTAGGTAATCTAAAAAGAATTTTGAACTGAACCCTTTATTTAATCTCCGGGGATAGACTGTTCTCGTTCCACTGCTCATGTATCGGGATATTTCGCCTTGTTCTTATTTTCTTTAGTATTTTCATTTAGTATTCAGTTAAAAGAATTTTGAACTGAACCCTGCCTGTTCCACTCCAGTCTTCCTCAGGTGTATATTCGATCTAGGTAATCTAAAAAGAATTTTGAACTGAACCCTTTATTTAATCTCCGGGGATAGACTGTTCTCGTTCCACTGCTCATGTATCGGGATATTTCGCCTTGTTCTTATTTTCATTTAGTATTCAGTTATTGCCTCCCTCCAGTCTTCCTCAGGTGTATATCGATCTAGGTAATCTAAAAAGAATTTTGAACTGAACCCTTTATTTAATCTCCGGGGATAGACTGTTCTCGTTCCACTGCTCATGTATCGGGATATTTCGCCTTGTTCTTATTTTCATTTAGTATTCAGTTATTGCCCGCCCTCCAGTCTTCCTCAGGTGTATATCGATCTAGGTAATCTAAAAAGAATTTTGAACTGAACCCTTTATTTAATCTCCGGGGATAGACTGTTCTCGTTCCACTGCTCATGTATCGGGATATTTCGCCTTGTTCTTATTTTTCATTTAGTATTCAGTTATTGCCTGCCCTCCAGTCTTCCTCAGGTGTATATCGATCTAGGTAATCTAAAAAAAATTTTGAACTGAACCCTTTATTTAATCTCCGGGGATAGACTGTTCTCGTTCCACTGCTCATGTATCGGGATATTTCGCCTTGTTCTTATTTTCATTTAGTATTCAGTTATTGCCCGCCTCCAGTCTTCCTCAGGTGTATATCGATCTAGGTAATCTAAAAGAATTTTTGAACTGAACCCTTTATTTAATCTCCGGGGATAGACTGTTCTCGTTCCACTGCTCATGTATCGGGATATTTCGCCTTGTTCTTATTTTCATTTAGTATTCAGTTATTGCCTGCCCTCCAGTCTTCCTCAGGTGTATATCGATCTAGGTAATCTAAAATGAATTTTGAACTGAACCCTTTATTTAATCTCCGATAGACTGTTCTCGTTCCACTGCCTTGTGTTCTTATTTTCATTTAGTATTCAGTTATTGCCCGCCCTCCAGTCTTCCTCAGGTGTATATCGATCTAGGTAATCTAAAAAGAATTTTGAACTGAACCCTTTATTTAATCTCCGGGGATAGACTGTTCTCGTTCCACTGCTCATGTATCAGGATATTTCGCCTTGTTCTTATTTTCATTTAGTATTCAGTTATTGCCTGCCCTCCAGTCTTCCTCAGGTGTATATCGATCTAGGTAATCTAAAAAGAATTTTGAACTGAACCCTTTATTTAATCTCCGGGGATAGACTGTTCTCGTTCCACTGCTCATGTATCGGGATATTTCGCCTTGTTCTTATTTTCATTTAGTATTCAGTTATTGCCCGCCCTCCAGTCTTCCTCAGGTGTATATCGATCTAGGTAATCTAAAAAGAATTTTGAACTGAACCCTTTATTTAATCTCGGGGATAGACTGTTCTCGTTCCACTGCTCATGTATCGGGATATTTCGCCTTGTTCTTATTTTCATTTAGTATTCAGTTATTGCCCGCCCTCCAGTCTTCCTCAGGTGTATATCGATCTAGGTAATCTAAAAAGAATTTTGAACTGAACCCTTTATTTAATCTCCGGGATAGACTGTTCTCGTTCCACTGCTCATGTATCAGGATATTTCGCCTTGTTCTTATTTTCATTTAGTATTCAGTTATTGCCTGCCCTCCAGTCTTCCTCAGGTGTATATCGATCTAGGTAATCTAAAAAGAATTTTGAAATGAACCCTTTATTTAATCTCCGGGGATAGACTGTTCTCGTTCCACTGCTCATGTATCAGGATATTTCGCCTTGTTCTTATTTTCTTAGTATTCAGTTATTGCCTGCCCTCCAGTCTTCCTCAGGTGTATATCGATCTAGGTAATCTAAAAGAATTTTGAACTGAACCCTTTATTTAATCTCCGGGGATAGACTGTTCTCGTTCCACTGCTCATGTATCGGGATATTTCGCCTTTCTTCTTTATTTTCATTTAGGTATTCGATCTAGGTAATCTAAAAGTAAGGTGTATTTCGAACTAGGTAATCTAAAAAGAATTTTGAACTGAACCCTTTATTTAATCTCCGGGGATAGACTGTTCTCGTTCCACTGCTCATGTATCGGGATATTTCGCCTTGTTCTTATTTTCATTTAGTATTCAGTTATTGCCTGCCCTCCAGTCTTCCTCAGGTGTATATCGATCTAGGTAATCTAAAAGAATTTTGAACTGAACCCTTTATTTAATCTCCGGGGATAGACTGTTCTCGTTCCACTGCTCATGTATCGGATATTTCGCCTTGTTCTTATTTTCATTTAGTATTCAGTTATTGCCTGCCCTCCAGTCTTCCTCAGGTGTATATCGATCTAGGTAATAAAAGAATTTTGAACTGAACCCTTTATTTAATCTAAAAGAGAATTTCATGTATCAGGATATTTCCCGTTCTTTTTTCATTTAGTATTCAGTTATTGCCCCCCAGTCTTCCTCAGGTGTATATCGATCTAGGTAATCTAAAAAGAATTTTGAACTTTTATTTAATCTCCGGGGATAGACTCGTTCCATTTAGTGCTCATGTATATCGATCTAGGTATAAAAAAGAATTTTGAACCCCTTTATTTAATCTTATTTTCATTTCATGTATTCATATTTCATTGCCCGCCCTCCATTTAGTCTTCCTTATTGGTGTATTCCTCGATCTAGGTAATCTAAAAAGAATTTTGAACTGAACCCTTTATTTAATCTCCGGGGATAGACTGTTCTCGTTCCACTGCTCATGTATCGGGATATTTCGCCTTGTTCTTATTTTCATTTAGTATTCAGTTATTGCCCGCCCTCCAGTCTTCCTCAGGTGTATATCGATCTAGGTAATCTAAAAGAATTTTGAACTGAACCCTTTATTTAATCTCCGGGGATAGACTGTTCTCGTTCCACTGCTCATGTATCGGGATATTTCGCCTTGTTCTTATTTTCATTTAGTATTCAGTTATTGCCTGCCCTCCAGTCTTCCTCAGGTGTATATCGATCTAGGTAATCTAAAAAGAATTTTGAACTGAACCCTTTATTTAATCTCCGGGATAGACTGTTCTCGTTCCACTGCTCATGTATCGATATTTCCCTTTATTTAATCTCCGGGATAGACCTTGTTCTTATTTTCATTTAGTATTCAGTTATTGCCTGCCCTCCAGTCTTCCTCAGGTGTATATCGATCTAGGTAATCTAAAAAGAATTTTGAACTGAACCCTTTATTTAATCTACGGGGATAGACTGTTCTCGTTCCACTGCTCATGTATCGGGATTTATCGCCTTGTTCTTATTTTCATTTAGTATTCAGTTATTGCCCGCCCTCCAGTCTTCCTCAGGTGTATATCGATCTAGGTAATCTAAAAAGAATTTTGAACTGAACCCTTTATTTAATCTCCAGGGATAGACTGTTCTCGTTCCACTGCTCATGTATCGGGATATTTCGCCTTGTTCTTATTTTCATTTAGTATTCAGTTATTGCCTGCCCTCCAGTCTTCCTCAGGTGTATATCGATCTAGGTAATCTAAAAAGAATTTTGAACTGAACACTTTATTTAATCTACGGGGATAGACTGTTCTCGTTCCACTGCTCATGTATCGGGATATTTCGCCTTGTTCTTATTTTCATTTAGTATTCAGTTATTGCCTGCCCTCCAGTCTTCCTCAGGTGTATATCGATCTAGGTAATCTAAAAAAATTTTGAACTGAACCCTTTATTTAATCTACGGGGATAGACTGTTCTCCTTCCACTGCTCATGTATCAGGATATTTCGCCTTGTTCTTATTTTCATTTAGTATTCAGTTATTGCCTGCCCTCCAGTCTTCCTCAGGTGTATATCGATCTAGGTAATCTAAAAAGAATTTTGAACTGAACCCTTTATTTAATCTCCGGGGATAGACTGTTCTCGTTCCACTGCTCATGTATCGGGATATTTCGCCTTGTTCTTATTTTCATTTAGTATTCAGTTATTGCCTGCCCTCCAGTCTTCCTCAGGTGTATATCGATCTAGGTAATCTAAAAAAGAATTTTGAACTGAACCCTTTATTTAATCTACGGGGATAGACTGTTCTCGTTCCACTGCTCATGTATCGGGATATTTCGCCTTGTTCTTATTTTCATTTAGTATTCAGTTATTGCCTGCCCTCCAGTCTTCCTCAGGTGTATATCGATCTAGGTAATCTAAAAAGAATTTTGAACTGAACCCTTTATTTAATCTCCGGGGATAGACTGTTCTCGTTCCACTGCTCATGTATCGGGATATTTCGCCTTGTTCTTATTTTCATTTAGTATTCAGTTATTGCCTGCCCTCCAGTCTTCCTCAGGTGTATATCGATCTAGGTAATCTAAAAAGAATTTTGAACTGAACCCTTTATTTAATCTACGGGGATAGACTGTTCTCGTTCCACTGCTCATGTATCGGGATATTTCGCCTTGTTCTTATTTTCATTTAGTATTCAGTTATTGCCTGCCCTCCAGTCTTCCTCAGGTGTATATCGATCTAGGTAATCTACAAGGAATTCTGAACTGAACCCTTTATTTAATCTCCGGGGATAGACTGTTCTCGTTCCACTGCTCATGTCTCGGGATATCTCGTCTAGTTATTATTTTCATTTAGTATTCAGTTATTGCTCTCCCTCCAGCCTTCCTCAGGTGTATATCGATCTAGGTAATCCACAAGGAATTCTTCACTGAACCCTTTATTTAATATACGGGGATAGACTGTTCTCGTTCCACTGCTCATGTCTCGGGATATCTCGTCTAGTTCTTATTTTCATTTAGTATTCAGTTATTGCTCTCCCTCCAGCCTTCCTCAGGTTTATATCGATCTAGGTAATCTACAAGGAATTCTTCACTGAACCCTTTATTTAATCTACGGGGATAGACTGTTCTCGTTCCACTGCTCATGTCTCGGGATATCTCGCCTTGTTCTTATTTTCATTTAGTATTCAGTTATTGCTCTCCCTCTAGCCTTCCTCAGGTGTATATCGATCTAGGTAATCTACAAGGAATTCTTCTCTGAACCCTTTATTTAATCTACGGGGATAGACTGTTCTCGTTCCACTGCTCATGTCTCGGGATATCTCGCCTTGTTCTTATTTTCATTTAGTATTCAGTTATTGCTCTCCCTCCAGCCTTCCTCAGGTGTATATCGATCTAGGTAATCTACAAGGAATTCTTCACTGAACCCTTTATTTAATCTCCGGGGATAGACTGTTCTCGTTCCACTGCTCATGTTTCGGGATATCTCGCCTTGTTCTTATTTTCATTTAGTATTCAGTTATTGCTCTCCCTCCAGCCTTCCTCAGGTGTATATCGATCTAGGTAATCTACAAGGAATTCTTCACTGAACCCTTTATTTAATCTACGGGGATAGACTGTTCTCGTTCCACTGCTCATGTCTCGTGATATCTCGCCTTGTTCTTATTTTCATTTAGTATTCAGGTATTGCTCACCCTCCAGTCTTCCTCAGGTGTATATCGATCTAGGTAATCTACAAAGAATTCTTCACTGAACCCTTTATTTAATCTCCGGGTATAGACTGTCCTCGTTCCACTGCTCATGTCTCGAGATATCACCTCTAGTTCGTATTTTTATTTAGTATTCATTTATTGCTCGCCCTCAAGACCTCTAGCTCTCCGCAGGTGTATACCGATCTAGGTAATCTAAAAAGAATTTTGAACTGAACCCTTTATTTAATCTCTGGGGGAAGACTATTCTCGTTCCACTGCTCATGTCTCAGAATATATCGTCTAGTTCTTATTTTTAGTACCATTCAGTTATTGCTTGCCCATTTTCACATTTAATCATTAGATGAGTAACAATTTTTGCTTTTATCTGAGGGTTTCCATTCGAATATCTTACACTAGGTAAAGATATTAATATTCACGGCTGGCTAAAATCTTAAAGCCAATGAAAATAAAGTCGATAAAGTTTAAAGGTTGCAAAAGCAAGGTCCCTCTCAACGTGCCATCATTGGTGAGATTGGACGTAGTAAAACTGCTGCTACAGATTTCTTATAAGAATCTGAGGGACACAGAACGAAAATTTCAAGTGGTCGGTCCAAGTTGGAGTGTTGAGTTAAAGGAAATTAACGGAAATATCCGGAAGAGGCATGACACGTAGAATGAGAACATTCTACCCTGGTGGACGAAATAAAGGGTTCGAGTCGAAATTCCAATCACCTGAAGAAGGCCGCAGCGTACAACGGCCGAAACGTTGTGAATATGGCAATAAAAATGAGGATAACAGTTCAAATAATGTAAATAAAGTAAGTAATCAAATACCTCTTCTCAGAGATCCAATCACCTGAAGAAGGCCGGAGCATATAACGACTGAAACGTTGTGAATATGGCAATAAAAATGAGGATAACAGTTTGAATAATGTAAATAATGCAAGTAATCATAATAGCGCGTCTCAGAGATCCAATCACCTGAAGAAGGCCGGAGGGTACAACGGTCGAAACGTTGTGAATATGGCAATGAAGATGAGGAAAACAGTCCGAATAATGTAAATAATGCAAGTAATCATAATACCGCATCTCAGAGATATAGACAGACATTGTACATTTATGCTACGTTGTGAATATGGTAATGAAGATGAGGATAACAGTCCGAATAATGTAAATAATTCAAGTAATCATAATACCTCATTTCAGAGATATAGACAGATATTGTACAGTTATGTTACAGTGTGAATATGGCAATGAAGATGATTATAACAGTCCGAATAATGTAAATAATTCAAGTAATCATAATACCTCATCTCAGAGATCTAATCACCTGAAGAAGGCCGGAGCTTATAACGGCCGAAACGTCGTGAATATGGCAATGAAGATGAGGATAACAGTCCGAATAATGTAAATAATGCAAGTTTCTCTGGGTGTTAAATATGTCATTTGACGTCAGGTTAAACACTTGTAAAAGAACTTGCCGAAATTGTGTGTAATGTTCCATGTACTTTTAACCAGAGTTGGCGACGTCCCTGTCTAGTTTTATACAGCATTAAACAAACACTTAGTAATATTAGCTTTCCTGATCACAACATCGACGAATAAATAAAATTATTTTGGTGAACAACTAAACAGAGGGACAGACAGTATAAACCCGATTTAAGCCGCAACAAGAAATGCACTTAACTGATTTTCTTGTAACTGGATGCACTCCACTTAAATAAATGAGGAAAAGGCAATAAAAAAATATAATCCATAGATATATAACACCTGAAGATAGTAAAAATCACCTAAGATTCAGCATGTAGTATAAAAGATTTATCGCTACCAACTCCGTGGTTACTAATCATAGTTCTACACAAAATGAAAGAAAACATTTCACAAAAGACTAATGTATATTAATTATTTGTTCTTTCAGATATAGTCTTACTGCTGATGAAATAATAATAATAATAATAATAATAATAATAATAATAAAATCTACATATATTGAGCACACCGGGCACATCGAGGTGGTGTAATTGTTATCAAGCATGTCTCGTTAAATCAATTACGACTGAGTAGTGAGTTCGAAAAGAAATTACAAAATCTCCTACAGAAAGGTAGCGACGGAGAGTGAGAAGAAAGGACTAAGCACAAAGTACAAGAAGACAGAATGCATGGTCATCAGTAAGAGGATGAGTCCGAAATGCGATTTGCAGGTCGGGAACACTAGAATCAAGAAGACGCGGAAGTTTAAATATCTGGGAAGCGTCTTGACAGAGGACGGTAAGTGCGACACTGAGATCCGTAGACGTATTGGGCTGGCCAAGGACGCATTCCAAAAGCTGGGCAGAGTATTGCGAGACAGGAGGATTTCTTTGGTAATGAAGAAAGGAATACTGAGCTGTTGCGTAACATCTGTCCTTCTTTGGACGATTTCCTCAAAGATGAAGAAGAGACTCGAGGCGATGGAGATGTGGTTCTACTGAAGGATGCTAAGGATATCATGGACCGAGCGTGTGAGCAACGATGAGGTATTAGAGAGGTTGCAAACAAGGACGAGGCTTATACTTAATATCAGGAATAGGCAGCTGAAGGTTTTGGGACCCATAATGAGGAAGGTGGGCCTGGAGAATCTGATACTCACGGTTCTAATAGAGAGAAAGAGAGATAAGGGAAAACGCGTGAGATACCTGGTGGACTTATTCAAGTGGATGACAGAACATGGTCTGGGGTAGGAAGCCGAGGGTAGGAAACTTGTTGAGAGCCTGCAAGGGATAGAGGGAAGTGGAGAGCCACGATCGCATACGTCCTGAAAGGACATGGCACATAAAAAGAAAAAAAGTAAATTTGATTTAAAATTTATAAATTTTTTTGGTGGGGGGGGGGTGAATTAATATTTGCAATAAGTAACTTTACATTATTTGGAGAGTTTGATCCTCACTGGGCGCCCAGTATTCGAGTATACCTGTCTACTAGAGCGGTTAGCCATTCCCTATTGCAGACGCTTGCTCAGGCGCATTTGCGTTTATTCAAATGCAGTGGTTTATACTGCAACTCTCCTGAGCAGACCTTAGTTACAATTTCTGGGAAAGAGCGTGTTATCTAGAGTGATCAACAATTTGAACAAGGTAAGCACGCTCAAGCCCTCAGCCACGATGACTTGTGATTTCGTGGTAAGCACAGTTATCGACGGCACCCAAGGGTACCGTCTACCCAATTTCACTCACAAGGCTTTGGTAATCCCGTGGTATGGTTATGATATGTCCCAGAAAGGGATATATTTGTTCGGAAGTAGCAAATTGGTTATGGACTACTGTAAACAAGTAGGACAATCTAGCAAGTAACCGTAATGGACTATTCCTTGTCGTAGTGGTAGACAATAGGCGTCCTCCACATCAGTCTGTATTTATGGCTGACACCAGCCAATCATATTACTGTGAGGGGGAACCCAGGTGTATGCATATTCATTACATCAGGTTATCAGTCACTTTCCTATATATATATATATATATTTCCTCGATGACATGTTGAACTAATTAGGTGCAACGAAATTGTTTGTAATGTTCAGAGTACCCCATTTCACTCACAAGGCTCGGGTCAACCCGTGGTATGGTTTCCAAAGGTGCCGCACGCTGGGATCGTCCCCACCCCGCCAATTCGATATCACCAAGCTGACAAATCGACCATGATGAGATTCGAACCCGGATCTCATGATCAGAATGCAGACGTTCTAACCACTCGGTTTTACTAATTAACCCATAGGGTTAATTAGTAAGACAATGCATCACTAAACAATTATTATCTAAGAAGCTTTTACAATCTATAAATATTAAGCAGCAAAATAAAATAACCAGCAAAGGGTTGATAAGCCGTGAAAAAGAAATCAATCAAAGTATTAGGTTGGTGCAAAAATAATGACGTAATAATGTCGTTTTTTGACGTATTTTTTAATGTCAAAAAACGACATTATTACGTCATTATTTTTGCACCAACCGAATACTTGGAACATTACACACAATTTTGTTGCACCTATTTAATTCAACAGTAAAACGGTGGGATATAATTGC